GACTTTTCCGGTGACAAAGTGGTTAGAGCGTCAGCCTCGGATGCGGAAGGTCGTGGGTTCGATCCCCGGCCAAATCATACCAAAGACTTATAAAAATGGTACTTACAGCTGCCTCGCTTGGCGCTCAACATTATGATGCTAGTGTTAGGATTGGTCGGCCTGGTATCAGGATAATGTGACTGGGTGAGACATTATGCTACATGTCTGCGGCATGATGCCCCAGTGCTAGAAGACATCACTATGAACTGCCACACTGCAGATATCCAGATATCGTAGCGATATGACTGAAACACTATTAAAGCTACGTTAAAAATCCAGATCTCTCTCTCTCTCTCTCTCTCTCTCTCTCTCTCTCTCTCTCTCTCTCTCTCTCTCTCTCTCTCTCTCTCTCTCTCTCTCTCTCTCTCTCACACACACACACACACACACACACACACACACACACACACACAAGAGAGATGCAACTGTACATAGACTAGTACATTGTTCTCTTGTTATTGAATATGACCGATCATGAAGGCCTTATCATGGATTTTTTTTTAAAAATCTATCAACAATTACCATTACAGTCGAGGGGGTGAGGGTTTATGGTTGGGTGAAATGTTTAGCTCTTAAGGGTTGCAAGCTACAGCAAGGTTGAAAGACTAGTCTGTTAACAAGAATGCATGACAAAATGTACTGAGTGAGAAAATATACGGCTGTTTAAAAAAGTCTTTGATGAGTTTTTAAACATATATTTATCAAATGTAATCAGTGCTAAGATTAAGGAATTACATTCAGTCTTGAATATTATTACGAATTATCGCCAAACATCAAGCAACATAATATAAGCCATAGAACCCATGATGAAACCTGGAATATTGTAGATATACATGGTTGACTTTGGGACAACAAAAGCAACATCTCTACAATTTATGTTAAACAAATTAAACTCAATTCATTGAATTAATTGGTCACTTTCTCGCCTGTAACTTTATGCGAGTTATGAGATAGGTTTAGTAAATTGCAATTAAAGTTCACTATGATTGATAAACAAACATTTTTTATTATTTTATTTAAAGTATGAAATTTACCTATATAAGGTATATATTTTTTAAAAAATATATGTAATAATATTAACTCAATTTGCGTAATTTGGAGGTTTAATTTCAACTTTGTCTCCATACAGACAAGCTTTCTGGGTACAATAAAATCTATTTTTTTATAGTTAGACGATCATGCCACAAAATAAATAAAAATAAAATTGTGGATAAAACATTATTTCTGAAGAAAAAAAATTAAGGCTAATCGGCTATCCAAGTAACATGGTTGAAATATACATATACATTTGACTTTTAAAACCTCCTTACAAACACCATTTAAAATTTTACCTAGTCACATGAACCTTCAAGTATATTAGCAGGATAGAAAGAATGTGTCTGTGTTGAGTTGTCATTAAGACTCGATAATGACCCAAAAAAATAAATTCACTTAGATACCCTTAGAGTTCGCTAATGTTTAATCATAGACTATGGACGTGTATAACATTACATACCTCTAGTGCCCATAAGGGCATCTATTTAAAATGGTAACATAATGTTAAATTCAACATGTGTCCCGAGTGATGTATACACCATAATATAATTCCTCGTGTGGTCATAGTCGCCCCCAATTTTAAATTTCCCTTGTGCCTATTCAGTCTCCGACAATTGTATCAATAACCTTTCCTTCTGGCATACCAGCCCAAAACAAAATGTCGGCCTAATATTAATTTTCACTTTTCATACCAGTCCAGTTTGTGGCTAGATCGGCTCCCGTAATTACTACCAGGATAATCTGGTATGGAAAGAATCATGGTCATCTTCGAATATTCGTGTAGTCGATTACTTGAGCCCTAAGCCTTTGTCCCTACTGCCATTAAAGCCGCAGGCATTACAAGCCCATTATTTTGTTCCGTACTGAATATTTCTATGAATTATTTTTCCCAAATAAAGTTATTTTATATTCTCATAAATGCGGGGCTTGTTCAGAGGTTGTTGGTTTCGTTTGGTTATCTTTGATTAATTACACACCTCGGAATCGACTCCCTCGAACTGGAAGACAATATTTCACACTGATGAAGCCGGCACTATAAATGAGTTAATACCGCGAGTCCCTCTCGGGAATTCTAACTTGTCTTCCCAGACTGGTAGTCGGATGAAAGATGACAGGCATGCACCGAGAAGACTGATGGTATAGCAGTCTAGCTCCGGAAGCGAGTGAGGAGATGAAATCATATATATCCAATCGTTTATGTGAATGTAAAATGACCATTTTATGATGTGGTGAGTTCAGTTTTAGAGAAAGCGTTGTGTCAGGGATTTAACAGAGAAGAGTAATTCGTGCCGTTCGATTGTAAAGAAAGAAACCCAATACAGATGCTTTTGTACTGATGCAGCTATAAATTAAATACTCCAGACATTCACGATAGAGCCTTATTAAATTCGAATTTGATATTAGTTGTATTTTTAATTACCTGTTCGTTAGCATTAAGCCATGCTAAATGTTTTATTTATTGTAATTTTATAGATCACATTTGGTTAAAAATGAATTACAGAACACGAACAAAAAACATATTCCACATAAGGAATGATTTTAAAATGATCACACTGGGATTAAAAGACTAAATCAGGAAAGCATCATCTTAAATTTAAAAAAAATACACAAGGAATGGATTTTGTAAACATATTTATCCAAAGTTTAGTTTATGTTCATAAAGGAGATTTCAAAATGCACAATGTCATCATAAAAGTTAATTACGTACTATATTAGTTAATATTTAATTGTATAAAGTGAAACTTTAATAATGTTCATGAATATTTAAGGGTATAAAATTAATCTATATTATTTTGTCACTAATATTTACGGGTATAAATTGAACCAAGGCAAACATTAGGATGTTAACAAAATAAGATATGTAAAATAAAGTGTCATTTCTGGCGGAATTCTATTTTTATTACTTTTTATTATCATGGGACTTAATATTTTCAAATTAAATCCAACAAATTCATCTTTTTTGTTATAACTTCTTGCTTATATGTATGTATGTATGTATGTATGTATGTATGTATGTATGTATGTATGTATGTATGTATGTATGTATGTATGTATGTATGTATGTATGTATGTATGTATGTATGTATGTATGTATGTATGTATGTATGTATGTATGTATGTATGTATGTATGTATGTATGTATCTGTTAGTGTTCTGTCCATGAGAATAGGTTATGCATAAGTGTGTATTGGATTTGACCTCGTCCGACTAGAGACATTGATGTTGATTTTAGCTTGTGAACAATAATACATTATGATCTTTGTTAATGAAGTTAAACATGCTTTTTTGGTATTTGGTCTAGGATATTGGAATACACTTCCCCCCATTAACAACCTATTGAAATCGATGTTTCCCCATATTCTGTATTATAATTTAAGTAACAGATTTGATCTGTTTACAATGTGAAATTGTTGGGGAAATGAACATTGGACCTACCTCCTGGTTCTACTGTTTTGTAGTATTCTTTTAAAAAATATATTCTTGTTTGCTTGAATAATTATTCATTTTTGCGATAATCCCAAAAGCAGAATTATTCGTATTGTTGTGTTCAGTTTTTGATCTGGGTGGAAATATTTATTCAAATTACTATTCCCTGGGTTACAAAGTGTTTAATAATATTCTTTGACAGAAACCTTAATTTAGAATTATAGTGAATTCATCCAAGGCATATTTGATTATATTATTCTGACTCAGGTCACTGCTACATTAGTACGATCAAGACCACGGCACGTCAACATATTAATTTAATTATAACTTTATCCATTAGAACCGTTGATGCAATTTTTAGACATTACTTAGGAATTAGTTTGGATTTCTACTAAAGTTTGTTTAGAACATTATATTATTAGGACTCGTGTTTTGTCATTCTAAGATTATTTTGGGACTTTTTCGTTTTTACTTTGTATATTCGGGAAATAAAGTATTTATTGAATATTACAAAACTTTTTTCTTTTTTACTTTTTTTTTTGTTACTTAAATTACGACCATAGAATCGTAATAGAAAATTATTTTAATCCGTTCCGTGATTGAAATCTCTCTAAATCATATCAGAAGAACGTGCCTTTGAAATTTAAATTTACTTTGTTTCGAAATGTTCTAAGTCCCACGTATTAGTTTACATATTTTAGAAATCAATATTGAAACCAGGGAGCTTTTCCAAAATCATCTGAAGTGGAGAAGTTTGATCTAAGTCCTACCCAAGAAAGGTCAGAAAATTGATGAGGTGAAAGTTCAGAGTCGTTGAAAATTGATGAGTTGCTCCAGGTTCTCAGAGAACATAAGCTATCTGAAGGAAAGGCTTGTTTATATAAGCAAGAAAAAAATATAACCATTATTTGGTGGAAAAAGCCTTTTTGGATAAAACTGATTTAGGTTTGATTAGTAAGTCTGTATCAGACTCTGACATAAAAGTAATGTAATTGAAATTTAAACGCTAGATGCAATTATGTTTCAGCGTAAGAAAGAGAAAGAGGAGAAACAAATGCAACTGGAGAGAGAGAGAGAGAGAGAGAGAGAGAGAGAGAGAGAGAGAGAGAGAGAGAGAGAGAGAGAGAGAGAGAGAGAGAGAGAGAGAGAGAGAGAGAGAGAAATGCAATTGCAGAAAGAGAAGAAGAATTGGAGAAAGTTATTCAGAGAGAAAGAGAAAAAGGAAGAAAGGGAATTTCAATCAGTTTAAAAGAATCAGAGCATGCAAGTGGAATACACTTACCCACCTCACCCCCGATACGCATCAGTTCAGACTTTCATGTTACCAAAACTGTTAGGTTACTACCCATTTTTAAGGAGAAAAAAAATCAAGTAAATATTTTCCTCATTTTGAAAACAACTTACTGTCATTTTGAAATGGCAAAGTGAGCATTAGACTCTATTATTACAAAGTGTACTTACTGGCAAAGTTCGTGAAGTCTTTACTTCATTGTCAGTTTTGCGATGTGCTAATTACGATATGGTTAAGGAATCTATTTGGAAGAGTTATGAGTTGGTACCTAAAGAAAATCGATAG